TTCCTTCCTTTTTCTTCCTTTCTTTCTTCCTTCCTTCCTTCCTTCCTTCCTTCCTTCCTTCCTTCCTTCCTTCCTTCCTTCCTTCCTTCCTTTCTTTCTCTCTCTCTCTCTCTCTCTCTCTCTCTCTCTTTCTTTCTTTCTTTCTTCTTCCTTCCTTCCTTTCATACAAATTTGATTTATTTGTTTGTTTGATTTTCTGTTTGATTTTTTTGAGACAAGATCTCACAGTGTAGATTTTGCTTGCCTGGAATGCCCTATAGACACCATGGTAGCTTCAAACTCATCAAGATCCTCTTCCATAATTTTTGATAAAAGGTTGACAGTACTGTATGCAATTTTCAGAAAACATTTATTGTTGTACTTGAATGTTGTAACTGGATGAGGTAGAACACATGTAGGTCCTAGGGTGGTTACTTCAGTGAAGCAGATGGTACATCTATCATCTCATATTGTTAATTTTCATGAAATGAACAGTCAAAATGGATTCAATAAAAATTCCTAATGCATGAGCTGGGGAGATGACTTGGTGCTTAAAGCACATGTCACCCAAGTGTGAGGACTGAAGGTGTGATCTCCAGAACTTACACAAACGCAGGATAGTAGGGTGGCTTCCCCTAGCCCCACAGCTCCCCAGAGTTTTCTTGAGTGAGAGTAGTAGGAAATATTAGATAGAAGGATTTAGAGTGTGGAAATAAACAGATGGAAAATACAGGATAGCCTCGAGAGGGCCTGGAACCTATTTCAACCAGCCCTGACTATCTCTGCCCTAGTGTATTTATAGAAATGCCAAGGGATGGAGCAAAAGACCTTTTCCATCACAGACAAGTGCAGACTATCTCAAACACCTGCACTCAGGCCCATGGTCCAATCATTCTCTCTATGTAGACCTGCTGGGTAAATCCACTAAGAACCTGAAAATGGGCTCCCCACACTGGATGGGTATGATAGTCTACCTCCAATCCAGTGCATAGGCTGAGGACACAAGATAGGGCTGGAGCATGCTGGCTAGCCAAACTGGCTGTACTGGAGAGTTCCAGTTTGACATGAGAAATCCTGCTTCATTGACAAGGTGGAGACTGGTTGAAGAGGACTCCTAAAGACAGCATCCGGCTTTCCCATGCAGACACATGCATGTGTCCTCTCACACACATATGCCCAGACACAGGCAAACATGCATACATACACCACACATATCCACATGAGAGAAAGGGAGAAAATCCCCAATATGGCAGTTTCCTGAAGTACTGTGTAGCTAGAGAGCTTCTCTCCAGGTCCCACCATGCCCCCGTAGTCCCACAACCCACGTATAAAATAATCACCCAGATGCTTATATTATTTATAAACTGTATGGCTGTGGCAGGCTTCTTGCTAACTGTTCTTATATCTTAAATTAACCCATTTCTATTAATGTATAAGTTGCCACATGGCTTGTGGCTTACCGGTACCTTACATCTTGCTTGTCATGGTGGCAGCTCCAGGCAGTCTCTCTCCTCCCTTTCTGTTTTCTCTTTTCTCCTCTCTGTTAGTCCCACCTCTACTTTCTGCCTGGCCACTGGCCAATCAGTGTTTATTTATACAGAATGATATCCACAGTAGTACTGTCTGAATGTTGCACATCAGATCTCTACACTTATGTATCCTCCATATGTTCAGAGTCCCACCTCCCCTCCCCAGCTGTGAAGAACACTTTTATTTTCAATGAGTGCATATTTGAAATTCACAAAAAACAAATTCTCTCAGCATCAAAGTAGTTTTCCTTCACTAACCATGTCATCCTTCTTAGAATTGCTACAGTTGCTGTTTCTAATACTCTATTACCCTTTATTTGTGGCTCTTCTTTTGGGTGCCACAGCTCCTCTACTACAAAGGAATGATTGGGTCGGAAATCACATTAAGCCTTTTGCCATTCAGTCAACAGGACACACTAGTACTTGATGCCATGTTCAGGTTGTGGATTTCAGCCATATGCTCTTCCAGTGGAGTCAAGTGTCTCCTGAAATATTTCACCAGACTTCTACCAAGTACAAACTTGGTATACTTTTGACATGCAAGGAAGTGTTGCATGTTTATGGTCAAGAGACCTGTGAGTGCAGAACCCTTCACATAGACAAGAGCCTCCATCATTTGCTCTCTGCTCTAAGACTATTCCCCTTGCTTTCTGTTTCCCCTGACACTAGGCAACCATCCCAGAGTCCAAGCATCCAATTTGCCCAGGGAGTGCATCCGACATTTCTTTCCTAAAAGGAAGTGTTTTGTCTTTGACCGGCCAACGGATGACAAAGAACTGTTACAAAAAATTGAGACTATCTCAGAAGACCAACTGGATCCTAAGTTCCAGGAACAAACGAGGGCCTTTGTTTCTTACATTTTCACTTATGCAAAGATCAAGACCCTCAGAGAGGGAATTAAGGTCACTGGGAATCGTGAGTGTTTCATTTTGTTTTTTAAACACACTTCTGTATAGAGCAGTATATGCTGAACTTACTAGCATTTGTATGTTTTTAAAAATTATCTATACAACGATAATGTGCTGTGTCTCTACTCTGAACAATCTACAAGTTTTATAATTAATTATAGATTATAAATCCTTTAGAAATGAAGATTTCATCACTAGTATATGACTGTAACATAACTACATAAAATTCATGACTGATAATAAAGTCACCAGTGAAAAGGTACTTAATCAACTATAAAATCAGTGTTCAAATCACTAAAGATGATATATTCTATTTTCATAGGGGATGTCTTGTAAATTAAGTATTCTTTAGAATAACAATGTGAAATGTAATTTGGAAATTTTAATAGTTTCAACATAAATACCAGTGTTTAAAACATGCAAATCCATACTTTTAAGAAATAATATGATATATTTTTCCTTGTTATACAATCTGTTTTCCTTGTTGATATAATCTATTTTCCTTTAAAGATTTAAATGCATAATTATATTTTTCATAGATATCTGAATTTATTAGGTGAAGGTTGACATTAATTTTTAACATTGTGAACTAGAAAACCACAAAAACAAAGGGACAATACAAAAAAGAAATTGTTGGCTTGCTGAATGAGGTGTGTGTGTGTGTGTGTGTGTGTGTGTGTGTGTGTGTGTATGAGTGTGCATGTGTAGCTGTGAGAGATTCAGAAATGGACTCAGAAAATATTGGATTCCACTCACTTATAACTTCATATTTATCCCCTAAAACTCCTGGCTCATGAAGGACTGGGGACTTTGGTGACGACCTACGTGGATGCCATCAACAGTGGAGCTGTGCCTTGTTTGGATGACGCGGTGACAACTCTGGCCCAGCGTGAGAACTCAGCAGCTGTGCAGAAGGCAACTGACCACTACAGTGAGCAGATGGCCCAGCGACTGAGTCTCCCCACAGACACACTCCAGGAGCTGCTGGATGTGCACACAGCCTGTGAGAAGGAAGCCATTGCTGTCTTCATGGAGTATTCTTTCAAGGACGAAAACCAGCAATTCCAGAAGAAGCTGCTGGTAATGTTTGTGTCCTTAACTGTCATGACTCTGAGATCCCTTCAAGACTGTAGCTGCTGCACCTTCGTTAACCATGGGTGCATGTCTCATTCAAAGATAAGCATGCTGTATGTTCATAGTGAATAGAGTTGTGAAAGACTGCACATCTTCTCCCCAAACTCCAGGTGCTTTTTATCCAGAAATCTCTAATGGCTGGGATAATGAATACATAGTGTATTAAGACCTTCACCCAGTTAATGTTTGTGGATTGCGAACCTGCCCAGAACACTGATAGTTCATCCCTGAAGAGCTACATTCTTTGGTTCCTTCGAAACAGTTTCTCACTCGAGTCCCACTGCAGGCCACTGTTCATCTGTTGTGCCTTGTTATGTCATTGTGTCATTGAAGACAGATGACAGGATGTGACAGTCACAAGGAACCAGAGATTGTGGGATGTAGAACCATCCTTTTACAGAAGGTCTTGAGGGCTAGGAGCTTCAGGAACATTTATTGTGGTCTTGCACAGATTTTTTAGCATCCTAATCAGGATCTATCATTTCACATTCACTTGCCTTCATACTCTAGAATACCTTCCCCAGGGAAATGGGTTGAGTCTTCTACAAAGTTTCACAGAATTTTATCTCATCTATTCCTTCAACATGTCAGATTTCTGTACATTTCCCTTGTAGGAATTAATAGATGAGAAGAAAAGGATTTTCATGTTGAAGAATGAGGAAGCATCAGATAAATACTGCCAGGAAGAACTGAGTCGACTTTCAAAGCCTTTGGTGGAAAATATTTCAATGTTTTCTGCTCCTGGAGGACACAGGCTCTACATGGAAATGAGGGAAAAGATTGAACGTGACTATGGGCAGGTGCCCAGGAAAGGGGTGAAGGTGAGGAGAGGGAGCATGAGGAAGGGGTGAAGGTGAGGAGCAGGGGGCATGGAAGGGGTGAAGGTGAGGAGCAGGGGGCATGGAGAAGGGGTGAAGGTGAGGAGCAGGGAGCATGGAGAAGGGGTGAAGGTGAGGAGCAGGGAGCGTGGAAGGGGTGAAGGTGAGGAGCAGGGAGCGTGGAGAAGGGGTGAAGGTGAGGAGCAGGGGGCACCTATGCTCACAGCAGAGGGAAGGTGGTGTCATAAACCATGAGCACACAGCACTGCTCTAGAGAAATAAAACACCACGAGGATAGCATGGCATAGCTTCATATCAAAATGGGTGACCAAACCCAGGCCTTTGCAATGCAAGTCAAATGCTTTATTCTCAAGCCCATCACCAGGACCATGCTTAGCTCAAAATGGCCGCTATTTACTATTAATTCTCGGAAATATTCACATACAAATTCTGAGTAATAATTTTGTGAGTCTGTCAGGATGGTCTACCTATGGGCAGTTAGTAAATGTAACAACACAACTAACATATTACTTGGTTTTTGCCAATGACATGATGGTGATTTCTTTCCTTAGACCTTTCTCCAGTTATCTAAAATGCTTTGGGTGATGCCCACCACTATTGTGGACAGTTTACACATCTGAACCACGAGGCCCAGGCAGGTGAAGTGACTCGCCCATGAATAAATCCAACAAGAGCAGAAGGAAGTGAAGCCCACACAATTATGCAGTGTTTTACACTGGGACACACTATTTGAAAGCGTCATAGGTGGCAGTGAGCACATCTGCACATGATGTGGACAGGCTGGATCTGGGAGCAGGTGGAGGCAGGTGGACACTAGCGAGGATGACTGGAGGAGCCATGGGTCAGGAAGTATCTAGTTCCACTGAAGAGCATGGGCAGTCTGCAGGCTTCACCACAGCATGTTAACAGTGAGGCACAGTGGAGACTGTGTTCACCCGCACAGGTACTCTCCCAGGACTTATCGAGGTTCTGTGCTTCTTCTTGGTCCTGCAGGCAAGTGAAGTCATCCAGAGCTTTCTACAGTCACAGGCCACCATCGAGAGTTCCATCCTGCAGGCAGATACAGCTCTCACTGCCGGGGAGAAGGCCATTGCAGGTACAGGAGCATGTCTCTTAGCTTTTGGGAGGAGTCAGATGCTCACAAGGCTTCCTGATAGAAGTCCCAGTAAACCCATCCCCAGATTAGCAGCTTTCTATCCTTCTGTGGATGCTCACTCTGAAAGCAACAGGAAGTCCGGTCTGTGCTTCAGCCAAATGGGCAGGGGCTCCTCCATCACCCCAGACACACTCTCTCCATGGTGTGGACCAGTGTGGAGTCTGTGGTTTCCTTTCAGATTTGAATTGCTCTCTGGGCTCTGGAATGTAGATGTTTTACCTGGCCCCTCACTTTCTACTCCCAACCATCCTGAATCTCCATCACTTTCTCCCCCATCCATCCTGAATCTCCATCACTTTCTCCCCCATCCA